TTTTTTTTTTTTTTAAACCATGAAAATCTGACAATTAAAGCCAAAGTTTTTATCTAATACTTCTTTATCATAAACATGGGTATCATGAAGCATAAGTATTGAAAACCAGAACTTGAATGTAGTAAATGGCAAAATAATTTACTAGGTTACATACATTGTGATGATTTTATCTACTAAGTTAATGAAATTTCCTTTTTGGTTATTTTAAAAACCGAGAGTTCATAATATATGTTATAAAATAGATAATGAACTACCATACTTTATAACTTATGCTAACTGACTTGTTCAATAAATTGTTTGTAAAATTCTTGGTGTCTGCATCTTATTTAATATAAATTCGTGAAGTTTAGTCTAGGTCAAACAACCTTTTATTGGATTCCTTAAAGATAAGGATTTCCTCTGCAACAATCAGTTTGGATATGATAAAGACTATTGCCAAAGCGTCTGAACTGTTCAAACTTGAATTGATTTGATATCTGCGAAAGTGATTTGAGTTTGTTCCTAATCAAGAGAGTAAGTTGAATTCTAAATCTTTGATTGCTGATAAAGATCTTAAACTGCCTCTGTACCTTCAGATGGGCTCCATATTCAATTTCTGTGATTTGAATTTTGATACAAATACAATTTCTTTCAATATTCTAAATATCTTAATATAAACACTCTTGATCCTTTGTCGAATCTCTTTGGAGTTTCTTGCCAAGTCTGATATATGTGTTATCTAGGTTTCAGAGGCTGGGGAGAATTTTAGTGTTGGACAGAGGCAGTTGTTAAGTCTTGCTCGAGCATTGTTGCGGAGGTCAAAGATACTTGTCCTTGATGAAGCAACTGCAGCTGTTGATGTTAGAACTGATGCTCTCATCCAAAGGACTATTCGAGAAGAATTTAAGACTTGTACAATGCTAATAATTGCTCATCGACTCAATACCATCATTGACTGTGACAGGATTCTTTTGCTCGATTCTGGCCGGGTATGAATCACATTTTAACGCTCTGCTCATTCATACGTTTGCCTTGTGTGTTTTTTTTCCAACTAAAGATTTGTATTTTCCATCTGTTCTAAATTTATTTGTTCATTTTCACTCAGGTTCTCGAATATGATACTCCAGAGGAACTGCTGTCAAATGAAGAAAGTACTTTCTTTAAGATGGTTCAGAGCACAGGGTCTGCCAATGCTCAATATTTACGGAGCTTAGTACTTGGAGGAGATGGAGAGAACAGGTTGCAAAAGGAAAACAAAAAGCCATCGGATGGACAGAGGAGATGGTTAGCATCTTCACGGTGGGCTGCTGCTGCTAAGTTTGCTCTTGCTGTGAGCCTCACCTCATCACAGAATGACCTTCAACGTTTGGAAATTGAGGATGGCAACAATATCCTGAAGAAAACAAAGGATGCAGTTATAACGTTACAGGGAGTTCTGGAAGGGAAGCATGACAAAGAAATTGAAGAGTCCTTGGATGAATATCATATATCTAGAGATGGATGGTGGTCAGCTCTTTACAGAATAATTGAAGGTGATTTCCGAATGTCCTTGGTTTACATGATTTTGTGTGGCTATCTGCATGTTCTCGAACCGATATTGCCAAATTTGTCTTTTCTTTATGTTGGTTGTTTAATCTATTGTTTTTGGGATTTTATGCTTTGGCATTTTTGTTAACTAAAAGGCCATCTTCCATAGAAAATAGTTGCTGTTATTTTACTGATAGAATATTTATCGATTTGTTTGCTTTATTGGCCCTTCCAGGTCTCTCTATGATGAGAAGATTCTCTCAGAGCAGGTTTCAACAATCAGATTATGGTATGGAAGACAGGTCAATCAACTGGGACGGTGTTCAGACATAGATAGATAGATAAAGAGAGAGAGAGAGAGAGAGAGAGCGATTCCGTGGGCAGAGCATTCTTTTCTTCGGATGTTGAGTATGATATAAATTTATCAGATATTTTTGGGTGCATATAGGTTTCAGTCACTACATTTTAAGATGCTTCCATTCTTGTACATTAGATTCTGCAGGTAATAGTTGTCCACCAACTGAATTTTACCATTTCTTGGGGATTTCTTTTTGTTGCATATCATAAAAATTTCTACCAACAACTGTAGAAAATGCTAGTTGTGAAATTTCAGTATCTAAATTAACTAATCAACATTGGCACGTGCACTCTGCAGCATTGCTTTTCTGGATGCGATTCCAATTTCTTTCACTTGATGTCCAATTTTTTGTATCTGATATAAAAGTTTTACAGATTGCAACTGATAGAATTCTATGTATTTTGCTCAAAAATTACCTTTCACATCAACAAAATGATACTTGAAATTTTTAGTTGTCTCAACCTACTTTTACTTGTTCTATTAAAAGAACAATTAATTAGTAAAAGTGCAGGGTTATTACAGAGTCAGAGAATTACATATGATGTGCATAAATATCAGAGTACAAGCGGAGTAAGATTCTTTTGGAAAATAAATATTACAGACTACAGAACAACTGTACTGCAGGAAAAGAGGGACAAGAAAAGTAAGTGCTCTTTCTCCCTAGTTAAGTATTTGGCTTTACACTACAAAATTTAGAAATTCAAGGAAAAGAAACTGATACAAGAGAACAATTTCAAAGACTATTATCTTCTAAAATACATAGAAGAGAGTCATTTATGAGACATATATGTCAAGAACACCTCATTTCAAGGGTTCTACTTCTCTAGCTTATGTTCTCTTTGACTTTGAGAATATATTCTGATATCATTTATATATATCTTATAAATCAGAAAACCATTACCAATTAGTGTTTCTTCCTTAATGATCGTTTTATATTCTAGTATAATAAAAAATAAACTGTTTTGTCTCGTTATAGAATAAAAACGTTATCTTACTGATACAATTTTTTATCTTCTTTTGTTAAAATGACTAATTTAGATGTAAAAATCATTTGTTCTATCTTTAACACCATGCCATTATGAAAATCATAATAACATGTGAATTACTCATGATGACATCTTTTATTAATGCACGGAGCATATCGAAAATGTTTGCTACTTCATCTACGATCATGTACTTAAGCATACCATTCGTGTCTACTTCGAGGAACAAACTATGTAAATTATCATATAAGCTCATCCACTTCAATATTTTTGTGGCTTTCTCTAACTAGCTTTCCTTTTTTTTTTTTTTTTTTTTGTTTATTTGAGTTTGAGGGATATATTAACATAATTAGTGAAATAATAATTAACTATAATTAATTAAGACATAATTAAATTAACTGTAATCTCATTATTATAAAAATTGTACGTTTATTATTATTTAAAATTATTATACACAAGATCACTTTTCTATGAATAATTTGTACAATAACAATATAATTTTGTATATTATATAAATATAATTATTTTGTATTTTAAATAAAAATAAATACCAATATAACCCGAATATTTTTTTATGTTATAATTCATAATGTGAATAATAATTAAAAAAAACAGACTTTATAATAACTTTAACTTAATTTTTTGAAGTAAAGTTCCATATTTTTATCCTTTGGTTATCTTCTATACGACTCCTCGTTCTTAAAAAATCATCTTTCACGACGACGACTAAAAAAAAAAGGAAAACGACAGTCAATCCTCGTCGTTGCATTGCAAGGGCCAGGTCTAATGGCTTGATTATGTCACGTCTTACGTCATCTCTCTGTGAAAGTCAAAATGAGCTTATTCACTTTTTTTCCTTGTAGACAAATCATAGCCACAAAGCTATACAATGGTGGTTATATATATATATTGCATACAAAAATAATATCCCAGAGAAATTGTAAAAAGACAAACACAAAAAACTAAAGTACATAAATTTTTTATGAAAAATCATAAAATTTTAAATTCTATGATCGTATAACATTATTAAATATATTTGTATGCAAACTATAGTCTTAGTTTATGTGAATTGGTTTTCTGTAATTTAAATATACTTTTTAATAATTTAATTTATGTCGTTTGATATTTTTTTTATTTTATGAATTAAATGTTTTATTTTTCATTATATATATATATATGTAGTGTTTTATTTTATCTAATTTTTAAATCTTACATATTTTATACATAAAGTTTAGATATAAACTTAAAAAAAAAAATTAATGAGGGTGAATTTAAAAAGTTTCGACATATTTTATATTTTTTAATTGAAATATTTTCACATTCGATCCATTTAAATTCTTTAATTTTTCTTCGTAATGGATGACGTCATCCATGACGCAAGCAGTCGGACTATATATATATATATATATATTTAAAAGATGGTAAATGCAGTTAGTCTTTATATATATATATATATATATATATTGACAGGGAAAAGATTCTGCCATGTCCATTAAAAAAAATGGTCTGAGGATATGGTAGCCTAGGCCTGCTGATTAAATAAAATTTTATATTATGTCAAGAACAAATTTTAATTTATAAATATACACTCAATTTAATTATGATTTAATTTCCACTATAAGATTATAAAAATTTAATCTCAATAGAATTTCGTGTGACATTAAAAAATAAAACATTAAATTTGAATGGTTTAGAAGAAAATTAAAAAATTGTATTCATAAATTAATTTTAAATTATCTAAAAAAATTAATTTGGAGTATTACAGTTTAGTTTTTAATTTTTTTAAAAAAAATAATTTAAAATTTAAATAAAAGAATAACAAAATACCATTTGATTTTAGAAATTAAAGATTATATGAAGAATAAATGAAAAATAAATTAATTTCAAGAGAAAATTTTTATATTTGAAATAAATCACAACCCACAATAATGAACTGTTTGTATATAATTCATTAAAAAAATAATTGTATTGTGTATAAATATTTATTTATAGTGTATAATTCATTAAATTACTGCATCTTATGTTTTTCTACAGTACAAATTTACTTTGAGTTGACTAGAGAGAGGATGTAATGAAAGAGCGTCCCTGCATGGCCGCGTTTCTCTTCACCTCTCTTCAGTATTCCAGTTTGATTCTTAACTGACTTGCTACTACAGAGGTATGATTACTGTATCGTTCGAGCTGTAGTACTTGTCTCATATCTTTTCTAATTCTGGGCTTTGGATTTTTATTGCTTTGTTTGGAAGCTCAGAAAATCGAAGTCTCCAATCATCTGACTTGTTCTTTTTTTTTTCTTTTGAGGGAAAGGAGGTGTAAAAATCAAATCTTTCTCTTGCTAATTTGTTTTGATCTGTGTTTAAGGTACTTGGGGAAAGCTTTTTATTTTTCTCCATTTTACCCATATCAGGTAAAGTTTCAAGTGGAAAAGAATAAAATGGAT